ACCCCCGGGGCGGCCCTAGACTAGCTGCCAGCAACTGGCGCCCTAGGCGAACCATGCAATCGGCACCCCCCTCCCCCAAATCCAAGGGCAGATACCGACTAGGGGTTTTGGTTCTGTGCTGGGGAGAGGGGGTCTGGGGATGGGGTCACAGGGGCCCCCCCCCACGCGCTGCCTCTCCCAGGACTTACCCCCCTCCTGGCCGCAGGGAGGCCGCGCTCCAGGAAAGGGCACGGGAAATGGAAGGGGCGGGGTTTGGAATTTGGCGCCCCATGCAACTTGGCGCCCTAGGCGGCTGCCCAGTTTGCCTGTCGGCACGGGCCGCCCCTGGTTCTAATTGAGTTACACAAAGATCCCTGGATCGGATGCTGCTCACAGCTGGGCATAAATGCAGAATTCTTTTGGGTGCCATTTGCAAACATTTCTAGTTTTGTTCCTGGCTCTTTTCAAGCACCCAACTTTTGGATTTTGACACTTCTAGCATCAAAACACACAGGCTGTGTCTAGACTGGCAAGTTTTTCCGCAAAAGCAGCTGTCTTTGCAGAAAAACGTGCCAGCTGTCTACACTGGCCGCTTGAATTTCCGTAAGAACGCTGACAATCTCATGTAAGAAATCAGTGCTTCTTGCGGAAATACTATGCTGCTCCCATTCGGGCAAAAGTCCCTTTTGCGCAAAAGGGCCAGTGTAGACAGCTCAGATTTGTTTTGCGCAAAAAAGCCCCAATCGCGAAAATGGCAATCGGGGCTTTTTTGTGCAAAAGCGTCCTGCCAATCTAGACGCTCTTTTCCGCAAATGCTTTTAATGGAAAACTTTTCTGTTAAAAGCATTTGTGGAAAATCCTGCCAGTCTAGACGTAGCCACAGACATGATGCTGGATACGGAACCATAATTTCTGAGTCTGTCCTTTAAAATAATGGACTTTTTTTGCAATTTTTAATTACAGAATCAACCAGATTCTGAACAAAAACCCAATGTTTTGTGAGATTTCAGCTACGTGTTCTACTTCTCAAAACAAATTAAATTCAGCTGCATGACAGTAGTTCCCAATACCTTCCCTGAGACAAGGCTCCATTGTGCAAGGAACTGTACATGCACAGGGAGAAGCAGTCCCTGCCTCAAAGAAATCACACGTCTCAGGGAAATGGGGACAAGAATTGCTTAAGTTGACAGGGCACAATAGAGACAGGCATGGGAGGCTGATAAGGTTTCGGGCCACAGAGCTCTGGCCAGCTGGGCATTTGGCCCAGGAAAGGGCAGCAGTGGGGAGAACATGTAGGCCTGAGAATCCCCAGCAATTGAAGTAGGGTGCACCCAAGTCCTGCCCCAGCAACAGGACTCCTTGCATTCTCCCTGGCTGATGCCCTGGCCTGGCCTCAACACCCAAAAGGCCCTGGCCCCATGGGCTGTGTCTAGACTGGCAAGTTTTTGCGGAAAAGCTTGCCAGCTGTCTACACTGGCCACTTGAATTTCCTCATGAACACTGATGATCTCATGTAAGATCGTCAGTGTTCTTGCGGAAATACTGTGCTGCTCCCGTTTGGGCAAAAGCCCTTTTGCACAAATCATTTGCGCAAGAGGGCCAGTGTAAACAGCACAGAACTGTTTTCCGCAAAAAAGCCCCGATCGCGAAAATGGCAGAAAAGCCTCCTGCCAATCTAGACGCGCTTTTCCGAAAATGCTTTTAACGGAAAACTTTCCCGTTAAAAGCATTTCTGGAAAATCATGCCAGTGTAGACGTATCCATGTAGTTTAATCCTCCACAGTCTGTGGGAGCAAGAGACTTTGTGCAGGGAGAGGGCAGGGGAGGAGCCACAGGCTTCTCTGCATCACTCCAGGGAAGAGACAGCCAAGTCCTGCTGCAGCCCTGAGTTTGAGATGCCCACTCCCCTTGGGGAGTCACTTTCTTCCCGGGATGGGCTGTTTTGTGACTCCCATGGAAAAAGAGGGCACAGCAAAGAAAGTGGGGAACCTATGTTTGAGGCCAATCTGCATGGTAAAACAGGCCTAATTAGCATGGCTTTGGGGCCCACACCGTGCTAGATGCTGTACAGACAGCTCCAGTGGGAGGCACTTGGTGAAGCAGCAGCTTGGAGCACCGAAGTCCTGGCTGAGCCATGTGTGCAGAGATTCTCCCAGGTGAGGCACAGGGGCACTGCAGTGACAGAGGCTGGAGCCACCTAAGGTCGAACTGTAAGACCTTAGGGGCAGGGACTGGCTCTCACTGTGTGTCCATGCAGCTCCTGGCACAAAGGGGGCTGATCACACCTAAGCCCAGGGCCGACTTATCCAGTAGGCACAGTGCCTAGGGCCCACGATACTATTAGGGGCCCACAAAAATGTTTTAATTTCTTTTAAAATCAGAAGGGAAAAAATGAACTTTTAGAGTAAAAGAAAATGTTTTAATTTTTTTCTCACATCAGAAAACAATGAAACTTTTAGGGACTACGAAAATCTATTAAATTTTGCCTAAAACAGAAAAAAAATAAAATGTTGAAGTATTTAAAGTTATATCAAAAATAATTTTTAATATTTTTTTTTATGGAGGAAGGGGCCCATGAAGGCAAAAGTGCCTAGGGCCCACGAAAGTCATAATGCAGCCCTGCCTAGGCCACTGCAACAGAGTCTGCAACATGCTGCCCAGGCTAGTGCCATCTGGGTATTGAGAGCACAACCTTGACTGCCACTGTACAAAGCCAGCCATGTATCAGGATTCATTGTGTCTGCCCTCAATGCTCTCAGAGCCTCGGCTAGCTACCAGCCTCCCCTCCCATGGGATGAATAGTCTAGTGGTACCTTAAAGACTGACAAAACATGTAGATGGGATCATGAGCTTTCGTGGGTACAACCCACTTCTTCAGATGACAGGAGTATAGAAAGTTCAGATCCAAGAATAAATAAGGGAAAGGGGGTGGGAGGAGAAAGGAAAGGAAAGAAAAGAAGAAAAAAGGGAGAGAAAAGGAAAGAGCCAGTGCATCCAAGCATGGATCAAGAGCTGGGGGAGTTAACCATGGTTCTTTTAACAAGTCTCATCTGTCTTTAGAATCAAAGAAAAAATACTTTTCCAAACTACCACTTGGTGCTTCTCATCTCCCCATGCCCCTCAGATGGACCGTGCTCCATGTGACACTGTGTGGGGCCAGTTGCTGTGTGGGTCAGAATGTTGGGGCCAAATGGGGAGTACATGAATGAATGTGGCAAGAGGCCAAAACAAACACTGCCCTGTGGCTGATAAAGGGCCAAGCAGGAAAGAGACAGCACCATAGATGGAGAGAGCGGCACCCCTCTGAGTCCCCTGCAAAGGCCCATGAACTCTGGGAATGCTTGTCCAAACTCTGCCACCCTACAACAATTCAATAATAATCGCAACGGACTCAATCCTGAAGTAGGATCCCAGTGGGCAGATTCATGGAGTCCAAAGGCATCCAAGGGCCTGATCATAGGAGTGGAGACAGTCTATCTGCTGAGCTGCAAGAGGAGATTGCCGTGGGTTTAGGCACATGGTTCTGTCTAATTCATGGGCTCCAAGGTGCCAAATCCAAGGCCCCATGATGATCTAGTCTGGACAGGCTTTAAAGCTCAAATGGGCCATGTCATGCTTTACCGAAAAGAAAAGCAACCCCCAAATAATTAAGAACAGACTCAAACTTTGCCCCTTCCAGTGGCTTCCTTCCTCCACCGCAAGCCTGAGCACCAGCAGAACCAAGACAGGGGGTGGCAACTTTGCCAAAGTGTTCAGTGGGGCAACCACCCTGCATTCCCTGCACAGCTTACTGACTTCTTCTGGCTAGCGCCCTGCATAAGGACATCACATGGCTACAGGGCACCTTGTGGAGACTTGGATTCCCTCTCCCCATCCATAGATCTCCAGCCCTAAGCTGCAGGAGGTGGGATCTGGACCCAAATCTATAGCATCTCCCAGTGGGAGCTTTCTAGGCACTTCAGCAATCACACAGGAACTGGCCAGTGACTACAGTAGGTTACCTGGTGAGAGTCAGAAACTGGGGCAGTGGAAAGCACTGCCTTTCCTCACTCCCTTCTCTGTCTGTCCTCAGCAACGCATGCACCCAACTGCCAGCCTGGGAAATACCATGCTGGATCAAGCAAGAGTGCTGGAGGCTAGGTGCCTGGCTGAGGTTCTCTAGGGGATGGCCATGCCACAAGCAGCAACCTCAGACCCCACTGCCTCCTGTCGCCTCCTGACTCCTTAGTATCTCTACGGAGGCTACTAAAGTGAGACCCTGCAGACTATTGCGTGTTCAGCAACATTTGGCTCCACGGAGCTCTGCTGAGGCCCCCTCAGATCCTTGCAAGTCCCTGGTTCTATTCTGGGATGTTGATCAAGACAGTAGCCATTACTCAAGCACTTCTCCTGGGGCTGAGCACCAAGTCAAACCCAGAGATCTGCCTGGTCAGTTACAGAGCAGGTCAGCAGCCGTAGGAACCCCTAGACAGCTGGGATGCCCAGCAGTCCCTAGACCCTCCCTCACCTGCTGGAAGTCAAAGTTCTTCTGTAGCTTGATCTTCTCAAAGGGGCTCTCAGGGGTTGGGGGCCTCCTTTGTCTCTGCCCGTGAGCAAGCCAAGCCAGGAGCATGAACAGCAGGATAGATGCCGTGGATGCCATGGTCTCTCTCCAGGACGGTCTAAGTCCCTTGGTGAACCTGGCTGTGGTTGGTGGGACCTCAGGGGAGGGGAGGGCTGGGCTGGTTGGTTGGTTATTAACCACTTGGCTGATCTTACTGGAAATTACCAGAAGCGAATCTCTAGGCTGTTTACATAGCAGGGACTGTGTTACCAAAGCCTCCCCCCACCTCCTCAAGCTATACCTCCCCCCTGGGAACAGCCATACAGTCCAGGAGTCCCTGAATATCTAGGAAGCTCTCCCAGTCCTGCTATGTTTCAGGGCTCAGCATGCCAAAGGTAACATCCCATAATGCACCTCCCTGTACTTTGGTCTGTGTGAAGGGAAAGCCTAAGCTGCATTGCCTGTGGAGTTGGGGGCTGTCCTAAAGCGAGCCTCCTGCTGCATGCTGGGGGAAGGCCAGGAAGCCCTCCTACAGATAACAAGTGAGCTGCAAAGTAGAGAGCCTGCTTGGGGGAAAGGGGCTCACACCTAGCAAAGCTATAAACTGGGCTTAGTCCCAGAAAAGCACTTAAGCACTCACATAAACCGTAAGTTAACTGGACTTTTTTTGCTGACTGGGATCCTTCTAGCCCCCCCCGCAGCCTGTTTGGGGGGTTGCTCCATAGGGCTGGCCAGGCTCCGTGGGCTAACGGAGGCCTTCAATGCCTTCCCCATGGCCTGCAGGCTGTTGGGGGAGGAGAGGAGGGGAGGGGAGGCTCTGGAGGTTGACCACAGCCTCCAGTAGACCCTCCCCCATGACCTGCAAGCTGTTGGGGGGTGCAGGCAGGCTCCAGAGGCAGCCCTCTGCCCAGTGACCCCCTCAGCAGCTTGCAGACTGTCTGGAGGTGGTGGTGGTGGGGGGTGTGGTTCTGAGGATCTGCAGGCAGCTTCCTCTTTCAGTGCACCCCCCCTGCAGGCTGTCTGGGGGAGGGGCCAGGCTCCAGCAGCTGTGCTCCCTCCAGCTGTTCCCCCCTTACTGCCTATCTGGGAAGAGCCATGCTCCAGGGGCTTCCATCCTCCAACTACCTCCCTCCAGCGGTCCCTTGTGGTCTGCAGGCCACAAGGCCTGTGTGGGGGGACTCCAGTTGGTCCCCTCCCAAATCCTGCAGGCTCAGCTTGCAGGCTTTTGGGGGGGGGAGGTTTCAGGGGCTGCCCCCTCCTCCAGCAGCCCCCCCAGCCTGTAGTGTGGGGCTCCAGACTGTCTGGAGGTGGTGGTGGTGGGGGGTGTGGTTCTGAGGATCTGCAGGCAGCTTCCTCTTTCAGTGCACCCCCCCTGCAGGCTGTCTGGGGGAGGGGCCAGGCTCCAGCAGCTGTGCTCCCTCCAGCTGTTCCCCCCTTACTGCCTATCTGGGAAGAGCCATGCTCCAGGGGCTTCCATCCTCCAACTACCTCCCTCCAGCGGTCCCTTGTGGTCTGCAGGCCACAAGGCCTGTGTGGGGGGACTCCAGTTGGTCCCCTCCCAAATCCTGCAGGCTCAGCTTGCAGGCTTTTGGGGGGGGGGAGGTTTCAGGGGCTGCCCCCTCCTCCAGCAGCCCCCCCAGCCTGTAGTGTGGGGCCAGTTCCAGGTTTGGAGTGGGGCAGGGTCTCCCTATGTGGCTTGGTGGCCAGTCCTGCTAGCTACTCTCGTTGTGCTGCAGCTGTCCCTAGTGGCCATTCCCAGTGTCATGTCCCTCCCTTTTCGTGCTTTGCAAAACAGTCCCACTCCGGTCACCTGAAGCAGCGGGCGGGGCCCAGGAAAGCTCATGAGACCAGCGACGTGTTTTGTTAGTCTAGAAAGTGCTATTGCTGGTTTAACGCAGTTAGGGCAAGCGGACACTGCCCGCACTTAGGGGACGGACAGACAGACGGACGGACAGACAGACACAGACGGACACACAGACAGACACAGACGGACGGACACACACACAGACAGACACACACACAGACAGACACATACACACACACAGACAGACACACACACACACACACAGACACACACGGACACACACACAGACACACACACACGGACAGACACACACACACGGACGCACACAGACACACACACACAGACAGACACACAGACAGACAGACACACAGACGAACACACACACAGACACAGACACACACAGACACACACACACAGACACACACGGACACACACACACACAGACAGACACACAGACAGACACACACAGACAGACACACACAGACACGGACACACACAGACGCACACACACAGACACGGACACACACACAGACACGAAGACACACAAACACAGACGGACACACACAGAGACACACACACAGCGTCACGCAGAAAGACACACAAACACAGACGGACGGGTTGTGCCCACAAAAGCTCAGGATCCTACCCGTGTATTTTGGTTAGTCTCCGAGGTGCCCCAGAAGTACGCCTTGTGTTCAACACCCACGGACTAACATGGCCACCCCTCGCAGATGCTGCATATTTTATGCATGTGTCTCTCTCTCTCACACACAGGCAGACTCACACACAGGCACACATAGACACACACAGAGACACAGACTCACACACAGACACACACATAGACACACAGACAGACAGACGCACACACAGACACATAGACACACAGACACAAACACACACAGACACACACATTGAGACACACAGATACACACACACACAGACACAGACACACACAGACAGACACACAGACACACACACACGGACACACACGGACACACAGACACACAGACACACACAGACAGACACACAGACACACACAGACGGACAGACAGACACACACAGACACACACACAGGCACACACTCACACACACTCACACACAGACTCACACACACAGACACACACACACAGACACACACACACACACACAGGCACAGACTCACACACACAGGCACAGACTCACACACACACACACACACACACTCACACACACAGACACACACACACACACACACGCCCCAGCGCTGCAGAGCCCTGTACTTTAGAACAGCTCGTTCGTTGCTCTGCGCGCGGCAGGTCCGCACGTGCAATTGTCGGTCACGTGACGAGACAGAGCGGACCCTGCCTGGCGCGGTTGTGCCGCCCCCTCTCGGCAGCCCGGCTCTCTCGCTCCCCGCTCAGGCGC